CTCTGGTGGAGAGAAAACTCACACACAGGACACACAGCTCTGTCTTCATCCTCACAGTACCAGTAAGGGACGTCTGGATGTTTATCACACACCACCTCCTCCTTCTCTTCTTCCTTCTCTTCCTCTTTTTCTTTTTCTGTCTCAGGTGAGCTCTCACTGTGTCTCTTAGCAAAGGAGTCAGCAAGTTCTTTGAGAGCAAAGTTCATGGATGGTTCATCCTTTGAAGATTTTCTTTTACAAATGGGACAGTTTTTGTTTTTAGTTTGTTCCCAGAATTTCTGCAGGCAGCTTGAACAGAAGCTGTGGCTGCAGCTCAGAGACACAGGATCTCTGAACGTCTCTGAACACACATGGCAGCTCAGGGAATTTTCAAAAAGTGCGAATTTCTCCGCCATTTCGTAATTTTTTTTATGACTCACCGAAATACGACCTCTTTGCCTGATAATGTCGCCAAATTGTGCTCTTCGGTACAGAGCGCAGGTTTTAATGTAATGGCGCCTCCAGTGTAGTCGACAATGAGTTTAAGTTTCATTTACTCTGTTGTGGGTGGAGCTGATAGTAACGGACTTGCTATATTCCCACTAGATGGCGCCATTTCTGTGTTACAGATGTTGAATACTCCACCAAACTTCCTCTGATGCTTCAGAAAAAAACATTTAGCTGAACCAACATGAATATGCGTCGTTGTTTAAATTCTGGTTTGAGTTTAGACTGCACCGACCTACCTCTGTACACCAAGGATCGACATTCAAATATAGCGTTATTCATGTTATTCATGGCACAGCAGTTAAAAAAAAAGGGCAAACAATCCTATATTAATACATTAATAGTTCAACATATTACTGTAATATATATTATAATGACATAATCGTCCACTAAGAACAACTACTACACACGACGATTTAATTCCCTCGCTTTTCTGTCTCACATGATTCTTCACATGAGTCTCCCAGCAAAGAATTTCTTTCAGTGTAAAGTTCCTTCCTGGAAAATCAAGATTTCTTTTCACATATGGGACAGTTTTTTCCCCAGTTGCCAGACTTTTTTTATATAATATTTATTATTCCAGTAAAACTCTTACTAAGATTCATAATATCAGGAGACAGGACTGATAAACTGGTCAAACTGAACACAACATCCAGATAATATGTAATAATATACAGTCCCAATCAAAAGTTTAAGACCACTTGAAAAGTGGCAAAAAATCTTATTTTGCATGGTTGAATCTTAACAAGGCTTCAAGTAGAGCTTCAACTTACAACAAGAAGAAACGGGAGTGAGACAAAACATTTGGGCATTTTAAAAAAAAGTGAAACAGGTAGTTTTACAGTTGAATCAAAGTTTAGGACCACATGCCTTTAAATGTAAAAATGTGAATTCATTGTACCTGTTTTTCCACCTTGGGGCGGAGCCGTGGTGTCTACACGCATTGGCGGCACCTGTGTGTAACAGGTCTGTGATGACATAAGACCAGCGCTCACAATCACTCTTCGTGAGATCATCTGCTAACCACTGTTAGTGAGGGCTGCCACAGTCAGTGTGTTTAGTTATTGTTGCGCTGACAGTGTTTCTCTTATTCATTATTAATGGAAAACACTCTGTCCTTTGCTTTTATTAGTACTTTTGACAGAACTAGATGAGGCTGAAAACCTGTGCAATGTTCCCATCAGACCTGATGAAATGAAAAAATGTGGAAAACCTACTTTGTCACAGCACAGATACCTGTGATGAAAAT